AGCGTCGTGAGAGCTGTGCGGTTGAAAACTGGAAATGGTCATTTAGAGCGGGCAATCCAACATTTCTTTCCGCTGGAGATAAGTTGTGATGCGGAAGAACCAGGTCAGCTAAATCCAGTAGCTCCAGAGTACAACCCACGATCACGAAGACAAGCTGCAGCAATAGCTTCACAACAAGCTCAAGAAATTGTAAGACAACAAAACTTGACATTGAAGATAAACGACAATTGACATTGAAGATAAACGTTTAACATTCATATTTAACCAAATTATAAGAACGTTAATGTAGACATTAAATTTATTTGTTGAGCACAAAGGACTCACCTAAGTTCACCCAGTCCAAGAATTTGCATGTATATGTCAATTGAGAATATACATGGGGGAGTGTGTTGGGAACTGGGTATAGCGGAAGTTACAAACCGGATGTAGAGAGGGCGTTGTGCATGTATTAATACTTTGTGAGTGATTGTGAGTGAGTGTGAGATGTGACAAAATATATTATTGATATTTACTTAAAATTCAACCTTTTGTGATTTGTTGTGAACACGTTCTAAGGGAGGCATAGAAATTCACAACAAAGACTTGTATGCACAAAGGTAGTCCTATAGCAACACAGTCACAGTGTGGATTGTTAATTGTCTGCACATATTAACTTTATACCACCATTACATGTAATAACATGTCAACCGACTTTTGTAAAAGGTATGACGGTCTGTAAAAATATATCTCTGAGATATGTCCATTGTTAATTTAACATAATATGAAATAATCCTACCAGCCTGCATTTATATATTCACCTGGCTGTCATACACTACTGAGTACTATTTTTTGATAATGCTCATAATTTATTGTATTATTTAAATGAAAATGTTCTAGAGTGTGTATTATATAATTTCCATACCCAGCGCAAGCAGAAAGATGTTGTCTGCCGCGGCTGGGTCTTGAACCCGCGACCTTCGAATTACTAGATCGACGCTCTACCAACTGAGCTACACGGTCAGACGGATTTTAAGACTGGAAATTATGAAATATATACTGAATGTCATAAACATACTCGTTTATATTAATTCAGCATCGAACAATACTAGTTCTGCAAGTGTTATGTTAGTTGTGAAATTGTACACTCTGTATTATGTTAAGATGAAAATGTTCTAGAGTGTGTATTATATAATTTCCATACCCAGCGCAAGCAGAAAGATGTTGTCTGCCGCGGCTGGGTCTCGAACCCGCGACCTTCGAATTGCTAGATCGCTGGGTATGGAAATTATATAATACACACTCTAGAACATTTTCATCTTAACATATTACAGAGTGTACAATTTCACAACTAACATATATATAAATTGTTCTAATTAAATTGAAATTTCTCCACTTGCAAGGCGGGTCACCTCAATGTTCTGTTTCAAGTCGTGTCAACTCGAAACTTCAGCACGTGAAGAAATATTTCAACTCAAATTTAAACAATTACATGCGAAAAAAAGTAATTTGATTTTTGATGAGATACACCTACACAAAATGGTCAGGAAGACGGAGGAGATTGACTTGTGACTTCGATATATCCGCTGTCACTGTACAAAGTCTATGCATAAGTGTACAAAACCGCCTATTCCCTTGCTAGGGAAGGTATATATATATATATATATATATATATATATATATATATATATATATATATATACTGAAGACTATATTCAAAAAAATAGTCGATGAGTTGACGTAAGGAACAAGAGCGCTCAATACCATAATAAGTAGAGCGGAATTACTTCAGTCAAGGTTTGAATGTTTGCGTCGCTACTCTGAGTTTCACGCTTTACGCGATCATATATATATATATATATATATATATATATATATATATATATATATATATATATATATATATATATATATATATATATATATATATATATATATATATATTTATATATTAAAAAATATATTTTAAAATAACGAAAAAAAATAGGTTAAAACAAACCATAAAAAATGGGTTGGTTTATACCCATAAGAAATAGGTTGTTAAAAATAGTTTAAAACAACTCAAATTAAATAGGTTAAAGCAAACCATCGCAAATGGTTACTTTAACCTAAAAATCAGTAATATGTCATTTTAACCTGTTAATTATTGGTTGATTGAACTAAAGATTTATGGTTATTTTGACCAATTAAAGAAGTAGTTCCAACCTATATTCAAAAGTTAAAATGACCAAAATTTAAATGTCAAATTGAGCATACAAAATATTTCAAGCAAAATAAATATAGGTTGTTTTAACTATAATACAAATGGTATACGGATATTCACCAATAATATTTTGGTTGATTTGGCCAATTTTTATACTTATAACAACCAGTAAATAACGGTCAAGTTCGGAGTACGAAACAGCGTGCACTTTCGTTGGTTAAATGGTGTTGCGTCAACTAAATAAGATAAGCTAAAACTAAATAGCCCTATTTAGGCAGGCAATTAATCATCCTATATTTAATGAAACATTATTATGAACTTTATATAAAAATATATTTTGTAACATCTAAAATAACAGTAAGTATACGCAGTAGTACGTATAGTGTTACTATAGTCTGTGTTCCAGTTGACTACACTGTTATTGACACATAGGCTAGAGACTTACATGGTATACGCCCGTATTCTAAAACCTCACTCACGCTCACACTCAATGAGTGGAGGTTCAGTCTGAGCTTCTCTTGAGTGTCAATGCTGTTTTTTAATAGCTGGAGGATGAGTAGTCGCATAGTAAGATACGACACTAACCTTTCAGCTATTTAAAAACAGCACTGACACTCATGAGAAGCTCAGATTGAACCTCCACTCATTGAGTGTGAGTGTGAGTGAGCTTTTAGAATACGGGCGATAGTCAAGTATTATATATTATAATGAAAGCAATGCTAATCACTTAGCTTAGCATTAGTTAGATCGCGATCACCATGAAACCCTGTTTGTGCAGTCTCAATTTCTCATTATTACAATATGTTACATCAATCGATCGCCATATAATCCTAGTTCTAGCTTGTGTTCTATAGTCCACTACACACTTGGTGACAGTTGGTGTTCTTCACAGTAGTTCTAGAAAGTTCTCAACACCGATTGGCAGAGTTTGACAAATCCTGCCCAGTAGAATATGCTCGAGGAACATTAGCAAGGCCATTGCGGTATTCAGCATTAAAAACAAAATACGCTGCTATAAGCATATAATAGTGCTGATTATAGTACTTCCTCTTAATATGGCAACCATACCATAGTGAACTTATCTCTTGTAGAGATCCGGTTGCCAATAGCTGCGGTGTTGAACACGCCTTTATTCTCTCAGCATGCTGAATTTCAAAATCACTCTGCAAACAAAAAATGAGAAATATTATATATGCATGTAACATTAAGGATCTTACAAGGAAACTTAACACCACTGTACCAAATATCTTCAGGTAGCCTATGTATGTACATGCATGTTGCAACTGTACTGCACAACACCCAGCGCGCCCAACTTACTCTTTTAACTTGTTTAATGCCAGACAAGTTTACTCGTCAATAGGGCAGCTCTGCAGCTTAATGGTTTTTAACCAAAAAATCTGACAATGTCTATAGTTAACCCATTGAGCTACAATGCACCCCACCATGCCCTACATTCCTTTTACTTGTCTAATGCCAGACGATTTTGCTCCTCAATGGGGAAGCTCTGCAGCTTAAAGGGTTAATAAGTTCGATTTGACATCACTAATCAGCTAAAAATGGCATAAAAGATACAAAATTGACTTACATTCACAACTTTGAAAAATATCTCCCCTGGAATTTGTTTGCTTGTTGCCTTTTCCCCCAACACATATGGCAAAGGCTGCAAGAATACAGCGGTTTTCCAACTCTAAAAAAATCAAAGAAAGTGTGACGACGGTGTGACATGTGTGACGGTCATGCATTTATGAGCTCCGTATTTCTGATCAACTAAAGCTCAACTTAAAGTCTTTCCTTGTCAAATATCAACATGCCTGAAACGATAACATCTATAGAGAAGGAAAATAATGCTTTGAAGCGACAGATTGAATCACTGCAGAAAGATTTCAGCAAACTGCAAATCATGATCGAAAGTAAAGAATCACCGAAGCAAGACGGCGCAAGCAAAGAAACGAAAGCCCAAATGCATAGCTTCCAGACTAGCCTTGACTTCGTAAGCAATGAATACGATACTCTAAATGCTTTTCAAATTGAAGCGAAGAATGAATTTAAAAAGTTGAACTCAAGATTAACAGAAATAGCCATGAAAGTAAACGATGTCGGCGATGCGCTCGAACAGATACAACAGTATATAATTATCAGTATAATATTAAAATAGTAGGTCTTCCTCAACAAGACGAAAGGGAATCGGCAAATCAAACCAGTTCTCTGTGTGTAAACCTCTTCCAATCACTTGGAGTCGACGTTAATTTTAATTTTAATTTTAATGATATCGATATTGCACATCGCGTTCGCAGCAGAAAAGAAGACGACAGACCAAGCCCCATAATTTGCAAATTTGTGCGGCGCAATTCCAAAGTGATTGTTACGAAACAACGTAGGGAAACCAATAAAGTCAATCCGTCAGTCAGAATCTTCGATCATCTAACTCCAAAGAACCAACAAATTTTATTTGAAGCAAAGGGATTTAAAGCAAGAAACGACTATCAATACTGCTCGACGAAGAACTCGGCTGTTTACCTAAGAAAGTACGCTAATTTTCGAGCTATTAGAATAAATGAACTTCACGACCTTCTGAGATTGCAGAATTCAAACTATGTGCCTTCAAGCTAAGTAAAATGAAATTTTGTCTCTCATAGATACTATAATAGCCTGAATAAAGATGCATGGGAACGATAAAACAAATATTCAACTGTCCAAGTCACTATTATGTGAACTGCCATTTTATAAAATGAATAATTTAGCCCTAAGTCAAGTCTTTATCCCCAACAATAGCTTAACTACAAACCTCCCCACTATAAAAGACCTTGATAATTATCCTAGTATGTGTGACCTGGACTTATTTATTTTGAACACAGCCTCTGATGCGAATCCCGATGTAAATTTAAATCAACAGATTTTACGATCTCAATATTATTCACCCCATAAATTCAACAGTCTTAAGAAATCACAGTCAAATCGTATCACAGATACCAGTTTCTCGATGTTACATAACAACGTGAGGAGCTTGAAACGCAACTTGGAAAATTTTCAAACCCATTTATTACAAGAACTTGATTTCAACTTTAGTGTAATAGGAATTACTGAAACTAAAATCAGGGATGATAAATTCACTGACTTTAATCCTGAAATAGTTTACTATAAATTTAAATTTGTTCTAACACCGCTGGCATCGGGTGGTGCGGGAATGTACATTAGAGATGACTTGAGTTACACAGTTTTAGAAAAAAATTCTAATAAAGCTTTTCAAGCACTTTGGGTTGAAATTCACTTTAAGAACAAACCAAACATTATATGTGGAGTGGTGTATAGGCAACATAATTCTCCAGAAAGTTTTCAAGCATATTTTGAAGACAGAAAGTTTTCAAGCATATTTTGATAAATTTAGCGCTTCAGGCTCAAACAAACCTATATATGTAATGGGTGATTTCAACATAAACCTCCTCAAGGCTCAAACTTGCCAATATACTCAAAAATTTTTTTTCTCTTTAAAGTTATGCTTTAACACCAACAATTGACAAGCCCACTAGGGTGCATAACAATTCAGCAACTTTAATTGACAATGTTTTTGTCAATAGAATTGAAAATTCAATCGTAAGCGGCAATATTGTGTCAGCTATTAGCGACCACTTTTCTCAGTTCTGCATCAATCAACCAGACAAATGAGAAACAAAACGTGATATTCTCATCATTATCGAGATTTCTCTTATTTCTCAGAATCCGGTTTTAATGTTGATTTAGCACAAATTAATTGTAATTCTATAATCGCGAATAAAAGGGACAATATAGATAAACTATTCACCACTTTTTACGATAAAGTAAATAATTTAACAAACAAATATTCCCCATTAAAACTTATTTCTAAACGAATGATAAAGCAATTTTCTAAACCATGGATAACTAAAGGAATAAGAAGGTCAATTAAAATAAAAAAAAAATTAGGCCTATATCATTCTGCGGACAAAAACAAGTACAAATTATATCGAAACAAAATAACAATCTTAACACGAATTAGCAAAAAATCTTATTTCCACGAATATTTCAATAACAACCTTACAAACATGAGAAAAAGTGGGAGGGTATAAACAACCTGATAAATCGCAAAAGAAAGAACCATAAAACGATCACAGCATTAAGATGCCCAAATAAAAAGGAAATGATCAAGAATCCCAAAGATATTCCTGACATTCTAAACAAACATTTTTCAACCATTGGTAAGAAATTAGCTTCCAAATTACCCAATTCAAACACACATTTTAGTCAATACCTTAATAGCCACAATTATCTCAATTCGTTCTTTTATAACCATGTTATCCTAGCCTCCTCCGCAGGCCTCTCTATGGGTTTTAGCCTGCGAATGGGTTTTGAAAAAAAAATTTCTAGGAGAGAGGCCTGCCATAAATCGAACAAACTCATAGACGTATCTCAAATATTAGTGGCCGTGTTACGTTACCCCACCCCCTAAGTAGGCTTTTGACCCTAATTATATATTCAGTTTGAAATCTTCGGGCGAGGAGCGAAACTTGCGAGTATTAACTCAAAAATGTTTTAAAATGCATCGAAATAT